AGAGAGAGAGAGAGAGAGAGAGAGAGAGAGAGAGAGAGAGAGAGAGAAAGAGAGGCAGGCCTGGGGCAACCACCGGCCAACCTTACACAGAGTAGAATATCCAGCATGAAAGAAAGGTCAAAAACCCTGAGGCAAAACGTAGATGAAGAGAAACAGGTAAAATAAGTTATAAGAGTTAGTGGAACAAGCATAAGGTAAGGCCTAGCATTCATTACTAATAGTAAGTCTCTGTGTCATGATTTGTGAGCTGGTTGGTGGGCCAAAGAAAGCCTGCTATGTGGGCCACTGCTTGTGCCTTAGCTAACAGAAAAGTTGAGAAAGTATATTGATCTTGGGTAAAAGATAGGAGGCAGACCAGCCTGGTCTACAAGAGCTAGTTCTAGGGTTCCAGGACAGGCTCCAAAGCTACAGAGAAACCCTGTCTCACAAAACAAAACAAAAACAAACAAACAAAAAAGATAGGCAGCCTGTATTCAGTGTTATAAACAAATGATGTGTCCTTCATGCTGGTTAGTAGATACTTGCTTATCAATTCTTTACACAAAACAATTGATGTGTGCTTACTTTGGATTGCCAGGTGGTATGTATACTATAATTCATTTGTGTTATAGCAGGCTCTTCGGGGAACACACTCATTTCTGTGGTTGCCTAACTGAGAATCATTGCAGCCTGAAAATCTAGTTAGTGGAATGCTGGTACATCCTTAATGAGGTTTGCCATCACTACCAAATGCCCGCCGTTGCAGGATAAGTTTCTACGTTCCTCTCTTTGTACGGGAAGCCATTTATTTGTTTATTATTTATCTACCCATCATCACTTGTAAAACTCTTAAGAAGATGATATGTTGTTAAGTTTCCATAGCCCTAATGCAGAGAATACATAAGCTCTTTTTTTTTTTATTTTTGAGACAGGGTTTCTCTGTAGTTTTTGGTACCTGTCCTGGAACTAGCTCTTGTAGACCAGGCTGGCCTCGAACTCACAGAGATCCGCCTGCCTCTGCCTTCTGAGTGCTGGGATTAAAGGCGTGCGCCACCACTGCCCGGCTTTTTTTTTTTTTTGATTTTCATAAGCTCTTATTTTGCAATTTTTTTCTTGTTTTTTTTTTTTTTTTTTTTTTTTTTGAGACAGGGCCTCTCTCTATAGCCCTGGATGTTCTGGAAATCACTATGAGGATCAGGCTGGCCTCGAACTCACAGAGATTGGATTGCCTCTGCCTCCCGAGTGCTGGGATTAAAGGCATGCTATCATGCCTGGTAAACCTTGCTGTCTTATTTGACTTATTACACAATTGTATAATAAAACATGGACTTTGTAACATTAAGGGGGAGTGGATAAAAATAGAACAAAGGAACAATTTTATAATTACTTTATTAGTGTCCAGAAATGATTGTTAAAATGTTCTATTTGCTTTTTTGCATTTGATTAGTGCTTTGATTAGTATATATATAAAGCTGTTTAAGAACTATTTTATTTGATTAGTATATATTTATCTATTTGTTCATTTGTTTATTATTTTTAGACAGGATTTCTTATAGCTCAGGATGTCTTGCTACTAGCAATGTAGCTGAGGATGACCTTGAATTCCTGATCTTGCGTCTAACTTCCAAGTGCTGGGATTATAGGCATGTACCAGTGTGTCTGGCTTTCATGTAGTGAATGGAAAAGACAACGAAGAGACTGAGGGTGTAGCTCCACGGTAGAGTGATTGCCTAGCAACGGGAAAGAAACAGATGAAATTGTGAATCACTGCAATTGCGAACTGAAATCATTCATACTGTTTTTCTCCTCCGCTGTGGCACACAGTTTTAGTTTGCGGCTGATACAAAAGATGGATGGAACAGTGAGTTGTCTTTACTTTCAGTCTGTTTTGGTTAAATGCAGAATGTGAAATTTCACTTTAGGGTCTGGAGAAATAGCTCAGAGGCTAGGTAAGGGTACTTCCTGCTCTTCTAGAGGACCCGGCTTTGATCCCCAGTGTCTGTGTCATATGGCTCACAGTGTGTGATTCCAGCTGCAGGGGATCTGATTCCCTCTTCTGCTCTCTGCAGGTGACTGTGTACACATGGCACACATGGCATACATACACACATGGTACACACACACTTGGCACACATATACACATGGCATACATACATGGCACATACAAACACATGGCTCACATATATACATGGTACATGTACACACATGACACACACATGGCACACATAAATACATGGCATATATACACACATGGCACACATACACACATGGTACACACATAGCACACATAAACACATGGCACCCATACACACATGACATGCATCCACACACGGTACACACACATACACACATGGCACACATACATACATTGTTCACACACATGGACACATACACATGGTACACACACGATGCACATAAACACATGGCACACATATACATGGTACACACTTGGCGCACATAAACACATGGTACACACACATGCACACATACACATGGTACACACACCCGGTACACTTAAACACAAACACATGGCACACATACACACATGGCACACATACACACGATACACACACGGCACACATAAACACATGGCACACATGGCGCACATAAACACATGGCACACACGCACACATGGTACACACATGGCACACATACATACATGGTACACACATGGCACACATAAACACATGGCACACAAATACACATGGCATAATTGCACATATACACATAGATGAAAATTGAAAAATAAATCTCCAGATAGCGCTGCTGTAATCATCTTGTTTTTCTAAGTCTTCTCACCCAGGTACTGACTGAAGTCTAACCTTTCTACTTTAGCACACGCGATGGTAATTGTTTATGCTGTCAAAGGACGGTATTTTGGGGGTAGTTTAGAAAGGACCAGGTTGCCGTCAGCTTCCACATCAGTACCGTCTGTGGACAAACACTCATTGTTCCTTCTGTAGGTTCAGAGCTTCGTGCCTGCCAGGAGGGAAGGAGATGACTTGGAAGTGGGAAGGTCTTCCTTTTCTGCCTTTGTGGACTGTGAAGAGAAGTGGTCAGATGTAGGGTAAACACATTCTGGGAATTACACGCTCCTGCTGTTCTCGTCTGGCCAACGCTGTGCGCTCGCGGTGGGCGCTGAGTGGACGGAGGGACAGGTAATAATAGACAGCAGGGGGCGTTTGTCTCTACTCCTTCTCTTTATTTCGGATCTCCATTCTTCGTTTGTAGTGCTGGGATGGAGCCTAGGGCTTTACACATGGTAGGCAAGTACTCTGTCACCAAGCCACGCCCCCAGCCCTGCTGTTGAGAGTCACGAGAAGAGATAGATAACTACCCTGACCATAGCACACAGTGGCAGAAGGAAGAGACTATGCAGGGAACCTGTGGGGCAAGGACTCTGAAATGCTGTCTTACTCAGCGAGGTGGATGGGGGAGGTTAGTAACCCAGCGAAGAGTAGGACTCATGACAAAGGACTGTGTGATTTTGACTCTGAAGTGAGGACTGTGGACACCAGGATGGGAGCATAGTGACGTCAAAAGATGAGATGCCTGCTTCTGGCAGCACAGAACACTGAGGATACAGGAAGAGACCAGCATCTCAGGCGTTGCTACACTGTATCCAGGGTGTCTCTGAAGATCTTGGAGGACAAACCTCTTCAAAGCAGCCACTCAGAGTGGTCCTGCTAAGCAGTTAGACTCAAAATCTGAACTTTAGCTGGAAAAGACTGAAATGTTGTTTGATACATTTAAATTTTTCCTGGCTGTTAGCTGGGTGGTGGTGGCCTACACCTTTAATCCCAGCACTGAGGAGGCAGAGGCAGGCGAATCTCTGTGAGTTTGAGGCCAGCCTGGTCTAGAAGTGCTGGTTCCAGGATAGGCTCCAAAGCCACAGAGAAACCCTGTCTCAAAAAAACAGGAAAAAAAAATTCCTGGTTGTTTATTAGGGTAGATATTTAAGAAACAGATGTGTTACAGAGCAAAGCACACCATACTCAGGAGACAGGCTCCTGGAGAAAGCAAGGTGGCCGCATTTGAGTTGAAATGTGTGTTTAGGCTGTTATGACAGCACAAGAACTGGTGTAGTAAGATGGTGAAGTCTGTCCTGGCGGGGACTGGAGGACCTAGACTGGAGACAAGGGGAGATGGCTTCATGTCTTATGGTGAGAAGGTCCTGGAGAAGGCGACAGTCGTGACTGAAAGATAAGAGGCAAAGTCAGACATAGTGTCACTGCCTTTAATCTCAGCATTCGGGAGGCAGAAGCAGGCAGATCTCGGAGTTTGAGGCCAACCTGGTCTATGTAGCACATTCCAAGCCAGTCAGGGTTACTTAGTGAGACTCCATTTCAAAGACAAACAAGCTAAAACATTGAAACGGGCTTTACTTTTGGTGCCAGAGAGATGGCTCAGTGGTTAAGAGTGCTGGTTATTCTTCCAGAGAATCCAGGTTTGATTCCCAGCACCCACATGGTGACTCCCACTGTTTGTAACTCCTGTCCCAGGGAATCTAATACCATTCTGCAGGTACAAGGTATGTGCCGTGATGCACAAACAGACACACAGGCACCCACCCCCCATACATACGAAAGAAATACATTTTAGAAAACTAAATAAGAACGTGTGAGACAGCTAAGAGGGTGGTTGCTAAGTGACTCCGGCTTAGAGGTTTGAAATAGTTTTCTAGGAGAGAAGAGGAATTTGCCTCCTGAAGTGTGAGCTTGGTGTCCAGTGTTGTCCGATCACTAAAAACTTGTTTTCATTTGACCTCTGAACACATAGCGCTCTGCTTTTGCCTGTCTCTGTAGCCTGCGGCTTGGCTGTGAGCACTGCATTGCCCTAGGGATGCTGGGTGAGTGTGTGGCGGAGGAACCTGGGATTGTAAGGAAGGGCAGGTGTGAAGGTGGGATCTCAGCCTCTAAGCCGTGGGTTGTGAATGTGACATTACATTGTTAAAGGTCTTTTTGTCACGTAGGACAGGGTCTTAGGCCACCCAGACTGGCCTGAACTCACTGTGTCGCAGAGACTGGCAGTGAACTTCTGGTCCTCTTGACTCTACCTCCTGAGTGCTGGAATTTATAGACATGTGCCTGGCTAAAGGTCTTTAATTTTTTCCCATTTATTTCTGTGTGTGTGTGCATGTTTATGGTTGTCCATGCACATGTGCATGCGTGGATGTCAGAAGACAGCTTTGAGTGTACTTCTCAGACACTGCCCACATTTGTCTTTTTAAAAACAGGGTCTCTTACTGTCCTGGGACTCACCAAGTAGACTGGGCTTCCCAGCTGTTGGGTCCACAGGGATTGAACGCAGCTCTGTACTTGTATGGCAAGTTGACCAGTTGAGCTCCTCAGATCAGGCTTCGCGGGAACTCCAAGTGTGTCTAGGGTGACCTTGAACTCACAGAAGACCTGCCTCAGTTTCCCCAGTGTTGTGATCGCAGGAGTAGGCCACAGCATCCTACTGTTTTCAGTTTTTCTTAGTCTCTGTTCTGTTGCTGTGAGGAGAGACACCATGACCAAGGCAGCTCATAAAAGGAAGCATTTAATTGGGGGCTTGCTTACAGTTTCAGGGGGTTAGTCCATTATCATGGCGAGAAACAGACAGGCATGGCATTGGAGCAGTAGCAGAGAGAGAGAGAGAGAGAGAGAGAGAGAGAGAGAGAGAGAGAGAGGCAGAGATAGACTAGGCCTGGCATGGGCTTTTGAAACCTCAAAGCCCATCCCTAGTGACACACCTCCACAATCAATTCATCAACCTGGGACTAAGCATGCAGATATGCAAATATATGAGCCTGTGGTGGGTAGGGTATTCTCATTCAAACCACCACATTTTCCCTTTTGTCACCTCCCTTCCCCCCAGACAGTTTCTCTTTTTTTACAGGCTAGACTATAGAGCTGTCTTGAAATCAGGGCTTGGACATTCCCGACGGGTTTACCTGAGGGTCAGGGACCTGGAGTGAATGAAGCAGAGACAGATAATTAGGCGTGTTGGAAAAGACACTGTGAACATAATTCCCCCTTTCTTCGTAGGTGGGAGTTATAATGCCTTTTGTTTTGCTTGTTTTCTTTTGCAAGGAGGTTTGGGAAAGGGCCACTTGGCTGAGCTCTGAGCCTGAAAACATTTGGTCCGTGTGAATGCCACAGCGGAGGACGTTCATAATCAGACAGGATGACCCGTTCTGCGGACAGCAGTAAGCTGTTCTGTCTCCAGACTGTTTGGTGCTTGTTCGGAGGGCTCAGGAACAGAACGACTTGAGACAGGAGTGGAGGATGGTGCCGGAAATCAGTGCAGTACAGACTTCTCCAGTAGTAATTCTATCAGTACTAATTACTCCTGGCTTCCCCAAATGATGAGCCCACCCAGGACCGGCCAACTACCTGCCATCAGATTTTTATTTCTTTGTCTTGTCATGGAGACTCAGATTCTTCCCATTGGACTGCCCATTTATTCCCTGAGCCTGGATTTGATCTTTGCCGCTTAGACTGTTGTTTCTGATGTCAGAAAATCTGTACGCCGTGGAATTCTTGTTTGCCTCTTACCTTCACGGGATGGGACTCAAAGTAGCCGGCTAATGTCTGTGAATGTGACTGCACTTCATGTATGCCATCTTTTGAGGCATCCCCTTCCCATGCCGAAACATTATTCAGATAGATTCAAAACCTGCTAATGACCATGGCGAGGTTGTTTTTGAGACAAGGTCTACGGCCCAAGCTGGCTTGGAACTCACCATGTAGCCAAGGAAGACTTTGAGCTACTGGTCCTCCTGCCTCCCCCTCCCAAGTGATGGCAACACAGGCATAGACCACCATACTTGGCATAAAGGTTTTGTTTATGTGGGTTTATCTATTGATATTTACAGCATAAAGAAATTAAGACTTGGATGGCTAGTGCTACACAGGGGGAGACCAGCACTGAGGTGAAATCGTCTGAGAAGTGTTTCCTCAGAGTCAGCACGCAGAAGCTGTGCTCCAGAGGCAGCTAAGGCTGTACCTTGTACTCTCAGCTGAAGCTTGGAGTGTTCAGAGTCACCCATGTAGACCTGATTTTGAAGACACAAATGGACCGTGGAAAGCAGCTGAGACCTGGCGCTGTGTGGCAGGGCTGGAGTTCCTAAAGCAGAAGATTCCCAGCATTTTGAAGATGCCAATACCACGTAGTGATTACCATGGACCGCAACGGGTGGAGTGGAGCTGCCCAAGCTTAGGAGACAGCTGCGTGGGCTGCAGAGGGTGGAGCCAGAGGAGTGGCTCACGCCCTTCGGAGGAGCCCAGAAATGGGGCACTGAGTTATTTACACAGTTGTAGCCTGTGTCTGCTTTGTTCAGATTGTGACTGTGCCTTGGCTCTTCCCTCTGCAAGTGAAAGTATTTATTTTTTTATTATTTTACTTTTTTTTTTAAAATAGTTTTTTGAGACAGGGTTTCTCTGTGTAGTGCTGGCCGTCCTGGAACTCACTCTGTAGGCCAGACTGGCCTTAGGGGTTATTTTTGATTTTATGGGAGCCCACAGTTGAGAGACTTTAAAACTTAAAGAGATTTTAGTTTTACAAAGATTTTGGATTTTAAAAGAGATTTTGGATTTTTTCTTTTTTTTTTTTTTTTAAAAAAAGAGACCGAACTTTAAAAGTGTTTGAATTGGGACTTTTAAATTTGTAATACAGTATTTTTTTTATCTTTTTATTTTTTATTTTTTGGTTTTTTGAGACAGGGTCTCTGTTTTGGAGTCTCTCTTGGAACTAGCTCTCATACGTAGATCAGGGTGTCCTCGAACTCACAGAGATCTACCTGCCTCTGTCTCCTGAGTGCTGGGATTAAAGACCTGTGCCACCATCACCCAGCTATAATACAGTCTTTAAAATATTTTATTCTTGTGATATTTATTAATCTGAGATCTTGGGGATGAGCCAAAAAAAGAAAGGTTCTGTTTTAGTACGAGATGTGTTTGTATGTGGAGTTGACAAGGACTGTTGTGCTGCATAAGTTTATGTCAGCATGACTCGGGCTACAGTCATCTGAGAGGAGGGAGCCCCAAGTGAGAAAATGCTTCTATAAGATCGGACTGTAGGTAAGCCTGTAGAGGGGCTGGGGGAGGACCCAGCCCGTTGTGAAGGTGGTCATCCTTGGTCTGGTCGTGCGTTCTGTAAGAAAGCAGGCTGAACAAGCCACGAGGAGCAAGCCAGCCAGCAGCACCCTCCATGGCCTCTGCATCGGCTCCTGCCCCTGGCCTTGGTTTTGTTAGATGGTGAGCTGCCATGTGGAGGTGTAAGGCAAATGCTCCCTTTCCTCCCAGGCTTGCTCTTGGTCATGGTGTTCACCACATCGCTCTCACAGTTGGGCATAAAGTTGATCACTTTTTTAGTTTTTCCTTTGTTCTCAGCGTCTTCATGTTGCAGCTAAGGTTTTGTGGGGAAAGGGTTTAAGACCATTCAACTCACCTGCTCATTAAAACTTCCCCAGAACACTAGCCATGGATAGTTCTTTGCTTATTGAATCTCATGGTTGGAAAAATGATTTTTCAGCTGTGTTGCTCCCTACACTGAGATGATGACAAGAGTCTCCTCGTTCTTAGAGTTATGTGCTTTCCCCGGTGCACTACAGAGCTACAGTGTTTGGTTGCTGGTCTTCACACCTTTCATAGTCACTTAAATTTATTCACATCTTTGCCTTTTTTTCTTTTCTTTTTCCTTTTGTGATAGGGTCTCACTATGTATGTGAACCATGCTGGTCTTGAATTTACAGAGGCAATTCTGGGATTAAAGGTGTGTGGCACCATAGCCAACTTTGGTCTTTTTTGATTGTGTTCTTGTATTTTTACTCTCTGAGGGAGAGAGACTCCAATTAGACTCCAAGGTGAAGGCCACTTTCTCCATATTCCATTAATTGTGTGTGTCTGTTCTGCTTCACACACACACACACACACACACACACACACAAGACTTATGCCTGTTTGACACTTGACATAAGGGGAACATGGGAAGGTTCAAAAGGTTATCATTCAGTAGAAATCAGGAAGAGAGGATTTGAAAAACTCTAGAAGTGACTGAGGCATCTGACTGCCTGGACAGTTACCCTGAGTTCTTTTGTGGTATTGGGCATCTATCTTTAGCCTACAGGCCTATAGTATCTGGCAGATTTTTCAAGAAGCAGGAACTTTTAAAGACTATTCTGCCTATATTGGCAGTTTTCAGTCACTTTCCTCTGTGTCCTGCAGAATGTCTGGCAGTTTCTTCTGTGAAACAGGAACCCTGAAGGATCATCCAGCCTAGTTTTGGCTAAGTTCAGTGGTCACTTTCTGGTGGGTCCTGCATGTCCAGTTTATGTAACAGATTGTCAACAGTCCAGGCAAGAACAGTTCCTTTGCTCAGTTGCTGACCTTGCCACACTGAAAGCAAACCCTGTAAGGAGTTTCAGTCCATCATCCCTGCAGTAAATTGGTGCTGCCAGGAGCAATGTGTCTCATTGTCATGAAAATCCCTAAATTAACAAAACATTTTAAATGTCATATTCTTTAGGTCTTTGAATTGTTTGAAGTCTATCTATCTATCTATCTATCTATCTATCTATCTATCTATCTATCT